ATACAAATTCAACTGGCATGCTTTCTCTCTTTACATTTTAATAGTGTTTTTCATACAAATTGAACAGGAATGCTTTCTCTCTTTACATTTTAATAGTGTTTTTCATACAAATCCAACTGGCATGGTTTCTTTAGAGAAAGTGAGTTAAGAGAGACGAGTCAAAGAAAGTCGACAATTTAGTCCAGATACAGATTTAGTACAGATTAACTTTTTATACGCTTATTCTCAGATGTAGGCAATTTTTATACAAATTATTAAGATTAATAAGAAACGCTTACTCTCAGATGTTAGCAATTTTTATACAAACAAAGGCTCATCTTATTATCGATTCTTCGTACGTAGAGGATGGTAAAATTTTATCCAATGAATTGTATCTACTGCGACATAACAATTCTCGACCTTGACGAGTTTATGTCAGATTACAAAATATTGGTCCCAGGCTTTGCTTTTATTGTATTGTAATTTAGCAAAAGCCGTCAACTAGGTTTCATTTTCTAATTTCGATTCTTTTTGTTATATGTATGCACAAAAGATGCAAGAAACGCTCTCTCAAAATTGCCAAATCAGGCATAAGCAAAATTGATCATCGTTTGCATTAGTATTGGTTGTTTAAATCTGCATTTATAAGAGCAAATAGTTGTAAATTGAAAATAAAATTAATTGCGAATAACATTGTTTACTTACAAATAGCTGAGCCAAAACAAAAATTTTAAATTTTTGAAAGGTATGTTTATAAGAGTGAAAATAAAACTGGCCACATCGTCTGTGTGAGGACTCTTGGAAAGCCCGGGAATATATTTGTTTATTCAGCTTAGAGGAAGCATCCAAACTGCATCAACTTAATTTCAATCAAGTATTCCTCAGCGCTAAGAGGTACAAGAAAACAACACAAGACCACGCAAGCAATAATCGGCGATTATTTGCGCTGATAATGAAAGGAAACTTTATTGGGAATTAAAAAGTGCAATTCACTTAAAGCAATTAAGAATTATTCTGAAAATATCATATAAATAAATTTTGATTCAATATGCAATATCCAACAATCAGATTTTGCCAAATGTGAAAAATATAAAAATCCAAAATTATGTCACAGAAAAATGCAATGTAAACAAATAAAAGAAAAAATGAAAAAGACGAATTCCAACATGTACTTACATGTACTTATTGGGTGTGGTCAGTAATTAAGCGAACTGCATAAATGAAGAAGCAAACAAACGCGCATAATATAAAGTACATTGAAATTTATAGTTAAAGAAATATTAACAAATGCAAATATGTAAAATCTAAATTGAATAAAATGTGCATTAAATCTCCAAAAGTGAGACATTGTGAAGAAGGAAGCTGAAAATAAGAGTGTAAAATTCTTTATAAATATAACTAGCAATGGTACAAAGCAAAAATTTCAACAGGAATCGGTTAAAACATTAACGGAGTCCTGTTGAATGAAGTCCCGAAAGGATATAAGTTAAAATATAGTAAATATACAACTTTCCTAGAACTTTGTCAAAAACTATCACATACAAAACATGTCTTTGTGTTAATTATGAAAAATTTGATGTGAAAAAATTGTTACCCTACGTCAAAAATTAAATTGGAAAAGCGAATGTTTACTTAGCTACTACAGCCAAATGAAGTACTGCGAGAAAATAAACCTAGCTTAGTCACTGGAAGATCACTATAGAAAAATAAAGTAATTTCATACCATTGCTAAAAATGTTAACATTTAAATTCAAGCAGGAAGCTTAGTAAGGAGCACCTACAAAATACGCACGACGACTTCATTGTTGCTAATTAAAATGTTTTTGAGAATAAAGAGGTCATTCAGGTCAAATTACAGAAACTGGTAGCGAGGATAGGACGGATTTTGAGATGTTAATTTTAACAGAATCCAAAGTTTATGTAGCATCCAGAGACCAGAATAAAAATCTGGTCTTTGATAAAGCGTAGATTGATTGCAGAGCGTAATGTAAGAAATTTGTCTTGGGCGAATCGGAAACGTCTAGATTCTCAGCGCAACTATAACATATTTTCCAAGGTAGAAGCTAAGATTAAAAGGCAGGTTTTTTTTAAAGCGATAACTTGGAAGCCATACCACGAAGAAGGTGTGAGACACTAGAGGTGGCTGAGGGTAAGGTCCCATAGAAATTATCAAAAAAAAAACGCCATTAAGATCGATGGTATTTGATACATTGTGGACAGTGTTGGTAAGCAAAGTGGATTTGATACATTTAGAAATTGGGATATGTTAGAAGCTGCGAACGATGGAGTGAAAGTGAAGACCAATTTCAGTTGGCCAGTGAGAGTTACTTCAAGTATCGTTAAGAGTGTTCCAGGCGCTCAGGGAATTAAAAGTAGGCGTACAAATCGAAAGGTGTATACAGGAAGAGATAGAACCAAAATCAATAGGGTGACCATTGTTTGATAGAACTAAATTTTTGCTTTCGATAAGATCTTGAATTTGTATGTCTTTCATATCGGAAAATCGTTTAAAAATTCGCTACCAACTGAAAGTGAGCGTTCATGATTCTCAATAATTTGTATAAAAATTCCAAACATGTGAGTATAAGCGTATAAATTTGTTTACACTTCTCAATAATTGAGCAGGTGTTTGCTTAAACTGTGGGCACTTTAGAGAGGAAGCGTGTAAAGTTTGGGCACTTTAGAGAATAAGCGTTTATGATTCTCAATAATTTGTATAGAAATAAGCAAGTGGTCGAAAAGGTGGTTCAATGGGAACCTCTTTAATTACGTTGAATACAAGAAATAAGATACAAAAAATATCCGCAAAAATAATTTAATTTTCTTCATGTTTATTACGCAATATCTGCCTAAATCGTACTGCCCATGAATACCGCTGCCGCTATTGTTATGTAAAGTGTAGAATGAGCTGACGTGCGAAATTGTGCGTGCTCGTTTGTGTGTGTATGTATGTGTATTAGTGTGTGTATGAGTGTACAATTAAGTAAGCGGGACTTGTCCGTTCAGATGACACTTACGATCTTAACTTTCAAGTCGAGAAATATTTTAACAACTGTTGGCCTTTTTTTGATTTTCCTTATTTTCTTGTTCCATTTCTATTCTATTGTTGTTTGCAATTTGTTTTTTATGGTTGTTGGTGTTGGCGTTGTTGTTGTTCTGACGCTTAAGGCAGAAATTGATTTCTGATAGAACACGACATATTATAAACCGCCTTGCGTGCTATACGGGAGACCAATGAGTCGTCCTAATGCAAAAGAATATTAGAGAAGCAGCCAAAACTGATTCTACATCCAAGCCAATAACAAAGGAGCATTTTCAGGATTATGACATATACGTGTTACATCTTTGTCAAAACTAAGAAATACTATAAACTTTGGAGTTCTTGTTAAGAACAATTTAACTACCAATAAAGGGCCATCATATTCAAGTCTGCTGCCCGGATGAGGTAAGCTGTCATTATCTAAATGATCGCGAAACTCTGGCATTTGCGGATTACGGGCAAAATAGCAAGTTCCACTCAATTCAAAACATTTTGATATATAGATGCTACCGTGAGCGAAACCACGTTCATAGGCAGATTTATTTATAATCATGGCATCCTCCATATCGTAGCCGGTATAAGAAATAACCGTCACAATTCCTTAAGCCAATTCAAGCACGGTGAACCCATCTGTCTGCTTAGCCATTCGACACTGACACATGTTGCTATTAAATATAAAGAATGTAAAGCATTTAGAAAAACGAGCGAATATAGGAAAATAGTTACCGCGGCAATTGGTTGTAGTCTGGAAAAGGTATAAAACATCCGCAAGATCAAACATATTTTTTATAAAAAATAACTCACCGCCAAGTGAGCAATAGATCGTTGGTAACAACAGCGTTGTAATATTGTCCAGCTTCCAATATGGTAACATCCATGCCATCAAGAGTGCGTACAAGCATTGGGTGCAGTGCCATTGAGTCCCAATGCCCAATATAACTAAATAATTAATTATTGTAGATGATATAAGTAAAGATCTGGTTTTTTTTTTCAATACACATACGCCATTGTTGGTTAATATCAATGTGTGTTGGCGACCACATCGCGGATCCATATATATTAGTATTGCCAAGTATGTCTCCATGAGATTTTTACAAAATTCTAAATTGTAAGTATGGCAATTGGATTTATAGTCACTGTGTCAAATTTTGTCTAAAAAGCAATATATAAGATGTATTAGGAAACTCTTTATGAAAAAAAAACGTACATGTATACACCACATATACACCACATATTCCAGAATACCTCAGAATAGAATAGAAGCCTTTGGTGAACACATACAATCTCGAACTCTTCAATGTTAAATAAAGCATGATATTCCGTAGCACATCACTGAAATTTATACACAAGTGGAAGAGTAGAAGAAGCCATCGCAACTAAGAACTCAACAGTTGCGTAACATACGTCATGAACTGATTGGCTTGGAAATTTTAAAGATACTCGCGACAACTTGCCTCGATATCTTCATGCGCTCCAGTAATTCACCTCCACGAGGGCTGTCAAAACATCTTTGTATTAGGTCCCCGTTTTCAAGTAAAAAATTTGCGGCACCACCTTGATGACTGTGAATATAACAAAGAAGTGGCGGTTAGCAAGGTTTAGCGCTCCTCTGATTAAGTGTTTCTTATAGCCAAAGCAAACGACATTGCTCCTCGTAGCCCAAGTGGATGAATTGTTCTATCTGAAATGAAATACAATAATTAAATAAATTATAAATAAGAACAAGTAAGGGTAAATGCAAACTTACTTTTGGCATGTGGCGTATCTTCTTCTAATGAAGACACGTTTTTTACAGTTTTTTGCACCCAGTTTATCCCCGTCAGCTGCAAATTGATCGTAAAGCCTAGCAGATTTCTTCTGTGGCTTCTTCCGTCGTGACAGGAGCCTGCCTCCCTGAAGAAGTTAACCCGTGCTAGTATTGTTGCCTGGAGGCGCTTGCCGATGTTCCGTTTCACCATATCACGGACTTGTATATGCTGCAGGCGGTACGAAGCGCGTCATATACCTCCGGCTTTGCAAACTCTGGTTCCAGATATTGGTGGGTTTCACTGGGCAAGTCTCTTGCGTCATTTGCATCTTGTATTCTTTTCGTAAGGTCTTTTAAACATGCTCGGCAATGCAGCTGCTTGCGTACGTAGTGACCTAGTACGTAGCCCGTGAGTAGCCAGATGAACTCCTCGTTGTTTGTCAGGTGATAAGGGAATATACCGTTGAAATGGGCGAAAATCTTCATCGGTCTGGTCTTGGAGTTCCGTGCTGCACTCCACCAATTTTACAACATGGTAATCGTCTGCGGTGGATCGTCCGCTTCCCCAAAATTCTATTTGCAATTGAATTAGCCGTTTGACAAACTTCATTATATTTAACGCTGGTCTGGTCCTTTTTTTGCCCTCTGGCGCCATTTTGCAAAAGAAATATTCCAGTAAGTCCTGGCTTGTCCTGTAGGAATGGATCGTTTCGTCGGGGTGGTCGTCCAGTAGCGTATCCATTAATGCAGTATAATTGTTGATTGTTTGGACGATGTCACTCGCTAGCTGGTCCGCCACAAAGGCGGTGCTGAAATATTCTCTGACTTCTTCTAGCACCGCTTTTTGGGCCTGCCAATTGGTTTTGTTGATTTCGCCGTTATGGAAGCCTGTGTTTAATTTGGTCGTGGCGGCGTAAAGTTCGTACTTAAGCCAATTTATCTCTGCATATCCAGGGACGAAAGTACGCTGCTTAAGTAAATACGAGCCCCAAATAGCTTACATACCCATTGTAGATGTCCCATTCGTTTTTTTTCGTTTTTTTTTTGACCATGTACATGGCCAAATTTTTATACAAATACTTGGACAATTATTCAACAAATGTAAACAAATTGGACGCTTATTCTTCGAAATTCTTTTTTTTTGTGCTAATTTTCTTGAATATTTCTAACGCAGGGAAATGCGCCGAGCCTTTTGATTAAACGCACCTTAACAGCGATAACTGGATTCTTTACCCATTTAGGTGTAATCTTATGTATACATATATGTATATATATTTATATATATATGATGTATTGATGACAGTCAAAGTGTTCCAAAAATCATATTTTAATTTTGTTTTAATTTTCAGAAAATTTCATTTTATTCAAACTTTAAGGAATCTCCTTCGAAATTCATAAATTATCAAAATTAAAAATATCAACCAAATATGTGAAGGCAAGAACGGTGTTAATCGGCTAATTGGTAAGTGCATTTGCTCTTCAATTGTTTCCAAAATCAATCCAATGTATTGCTGAATTTTAGTGTAAGCTTTTATATTATTGCTCGGTCGGGGATAGAACAACAGAAGGCCAGCCAACGTGTAATAAGGGCGTATCTTAGAAGAAATTAAACAAACATGTAATTAATGGTCGCCTGTGTCAGACTACAGTTTCTTAAATACCTTTTGCATCCATTAGATGGATTAGGACATAATGTGACGGCAGGACTACCAAGCTTTCTCAAAGTATACCTCGGCTCTTGACTTTCGACATAAAACTGCGAATTTGCTAATCTAATGTTACGCTTCATATACATGCGATGATATTTAAGGGCAGCAACACCTTGAACTGGGACCTTGATTTTAATAAAATTGAGATTACATCCAGCTTCTTCCATAATCAAGCTCTTAAAGTCGATTATTCGCTCTTGTTTATTTAAAGGTAAACATATCGGCTTTATAAAATCTGTAAAATGTATGACCTCAGCCAGCCGTATAAGAGCGATATCGTGTAGTTGGTTCTTGGCTTTTAAACTATACAGGGAATGTGGTATAGCATATCCAATTGCCACATTTATATGGCTCGAAGCACATGAAGTATTCGCATTCTTTCCATTTTTACAATCAGAATTTTCCTCAGAATTCCATTCACCAAAACGAACGCCGGTTAAATGTCATTTTAAAAGTGATAAACGACCACTAACGCAATGTGAAACAGTGATAACATAACTGGCACTGATTAAAGAGTCTTCACATTTGTATCGCTTACGATTGCCTGAAAACGTCAAGACGAGTATTACACGAAAGCAAAATGTAGAACGTTCCGTAAAAACCATTGTAGAAACCTCGCAAATAAGAAGCATAACGTATTTGTTTTTTTACAATTTCTGAGAGACTTTGGGTTCGCTTTTTACAATTTCTGAGAGACTTTGGGTTCGCTTTTTACAATTTCTGATAGACTTTGGGTTTGCGTTTTACAAATTCTGATAGACTTTGGGTTCGCGTTTTACAAATTCTGATAGCTTTTGTGTTCGCGTTTTACAATATCTGAGAGACTTTGGGTTCGCTTTTTACAAATTCTGGGACAGTTTGAGTTTGATTTTTATAAATTCTGAGAGACTTGAGGTTTGCGTTCCTACAACTGTTTTGAGTATTGAATTCGTTTACAATTGAGAAAGAATAGAAAAAGCGAGATCGAATTTGTCAAACCTGAGAATAATTGAAAAAACGAGCTTGAATTTGGTCACATCTGAGAGTAATTCAAAGAGATTAATTTATAAAATTAAATGGTTCTTTTATATAATTAAAATGTCAATGTACGCATAGATAGACTAAGCAATGTCTGTCCGTCTATGTGGTGTTTCTTGTTGGCACCCTTCTGGTCGCAAAAATGAAGATAACGACTTTAAATTTTCATATCAGCTGGGTGGGTAATAGTTAAAAGGACTTGGAGAGCACAATGCGTGAAGCTAAGTGTGTGAGTCCAAATTAAATATCTCGGACGTCACGATGTAGTGAACCAATTTTTTCGTTAAAAGACGGTTATAATACGTATAACATAAAAGAAGTTGGAGAGTAGAATGCAATAAAGTGTGTTAGTTGTTATCGTTTAGTTGTAAGCATTTATGTGTTAGGTACACGAGATTCCAACCCCGCCGAATATAACTTTCTCACTTGTTTTAACTGCAATTTTTTGATTCCATGGCTTTGCTGACACGTACGCACTCTTTCATCGAAATTTTCTTTGATGCAGCATCGAATATCCTCCTTCCATGCAATCTGTTGTTTGTGGATTTTTGGCAAGGACCATCGACTTCAAAAAACTCCGTAAGAAGAAAGCCAGCGATGTTAAATCACATGATCTTTTAAATCAATATTCCGCTCGTATATTCTAAGAAATTTGCAGACTGTGGCCGCCAAACTTTCATTAACATGTCATTAATGATGACATTGCTCTGTCGTGTAGTGTTCCATTTTGCACTACCCTTAATAATATTCATCAATTTAGTATTTCTAGTTTCAAGCCTAACGAGACGTCTGATCTCTCGCGACCCTCGCGACTGACTAACTTACTCTATCCCAACTTAACTAGACATGCTAGACATATGCATGCGTGCACCTAACAATCTTTGACGTAAATCAACTTTTGTTTGTATCCTGATATACATATACATACATATACATATACACTTGCCGTGGCTGCGTCGAGACATACGACATTCTTTATTAGTTCGGTACATTGTTCCTTGCAAACCATAGACGATATCCACCACTGCGACTTTTACTTATATTGGAGATAAACTATGCTTTAATGGGGAGCATAGATGTGCCGAAACTCTTACCTCCCAATGGTGATCCCCGGGCAACGGTTTCGGCCGGCTAAGAAGAGTTTAAGGTTTTGGGCTACTAACTCGGCGACGAGTTTCTAAGAGATGGTGGAGGGGTTGGCTGAAAGATGAGCTCTTCACTCAATAGCTGGTTATTACCGAGGAAATATATGAATGAATGGTTTTTAAGTACGTTGAAGGTAGTAACCTAGCGAGTGCATGGTAGATCACTCTACCATGTCAGTGCAATACCCGAGATCTATGTATCTCGAAGAAAAGTAGTTCATGGTGTTGGCAACCAAGGAAGTATGGTGAATCCGAAGCAAGTACGGTTGTCTTTAACAACCGCCCAAAGTATGCCAAAGGCTTTGCAAAACAAACTGGGTCAGGAGGCTCGCCTCACAAAGCCACGTATGCCTGCGGGTGTATGATGGACTTTGTTCATAAAGTCGTTGGAATTAAAATTTTCTCGGGAGAGAGTTAATTATACA